AGTGAAGAGTATCAAGTACAGAGATGTATCAAGGAGAACGAACCAATACATGGGATAAAAAGTAAGACAAAAATATATACATACTCAGCCCAAACTACTACTTAATAGCTATTAGTCATTTTCAATAGAAAGATACAAATCTCAAATAGAATTACCTCAGTATTGTCTTGAACTAGATTGTATCAAGACTGACAAGTTTAACAGGAATTAAACATCATTATTTTAACCTGGTTTGGTACTCAGCAGTAGAGAGCAACCACGATTATATGGTGTCATATTGCATTTTGAATGAGTTTAAAAATGTGGATCGTAGGACTGTGATCATTGACTGACTTAACATACAGTGCAACCGAACACCAGAAAGCACAGAGATGTTTTGTCCTAGTACAGGACCCCTGGTGAGGTAGTAGCTTAGTGATTAAGATATTCGACTTTTGATCACTATGCTCCGGGTTCGAAATCCGCTCCATTTATTCCGGCTAGGGTAACCGGTTAGCATTATTATTGCCCACATTTATAGTGTGGTTCATACACAAGTACCTATGCAGTTAGTTAATTTAAATTTAGGAGAAAATCTGATGGAACTTTACAGCAGTGTGCACCAGCGACCTCACCGTGGATCGAACCCAGGAGGGTGAGTGCCTGACCTTTAATCACTGAACTGCCATATAACAACGTTGATTTTCTGACCGAATAAAATCATCCTTACTGTTATGACTCGTAGGTTGAACGCTTTATTCGGATCCTAGCTATTCGGATAACCCCAGGCTAGCACTACTCAGCGACTTGAAAGACCAGAGAGAAGACACGAGTATCAGAGAAGCACTTTACTACAAGGTTCAATTATGTGCAGAAAAAACAGGGGTTTTATAGTAATTAAAAAGACCTTGAGATTCCATAGTAGCAATATGTTTAACAGTCAATCAGGACCTCATTATTTTAGTAGCATAGCTTCTAACTAATCGCTGATTGGTTGGGCTCTTTATGAGCCTCTCTGGAGGCTCTGATAGAGTTTATTGTAAGCCGACTTAACACTTACCATGAAAGAAGAAAATCCTGGGGTTCGGATCATGGCAATATCGTGCATGTACACCTCTGGGTTATTCAAAACTAGGACAAAACAGCTATTCAGCATTCCTTTGATTCTTAATAATTCACAAGTTGATATATATGTGCGATGAAAATTAAAATCAAGTTGAAATAAGCGTCATAAACTTCTTAACTTGGAATTTATATTATTAAATCAAGGTTAAATAAAGCTGATGTACCTACAGTTAGATACTAACCAACAAACTTGGCATCAAAAATTTCTATTCAGAATACAAACTATGTGAATGGAAAAAGTGTACAATGGTCAATAAAAAAACTCAGTGTACAAGTCTATCTAATGAATATAAAGAATACAGAACACACACACATGCAAACATAGAAAGCGAGATATGTGTACAAGCTGAATTATAGGTCATATACCCTGATTGGGGATAAATAATTCTATCTTCATTAAATAACAACAATAATAATGGTAATAGTAATAAATTTACCGTGATTGAACCTAATAACATGAATGTAGGTGAATCAAGTTTCAAATCATTATGTATCTATGTGTTAATTGAACATCGGATAGGTGGAACAAAACTTATCCAGCTATACTGACCACAATGTACTTTTAGACGAGAATGACGTTGTACATTTCAATTATGACTCCTAATAGAACTTAAGATTAGACCTTTCGTCCTGCTTGAGATTGGTCAGTTAAGTGTATCTGTCCATATCAGTGATGTTGACATTCAAACTCAAGCCCGATCCCCAATGCTTCAAATGCCAGTGCATTATCCAATAACCTGTTGAGTTCGGATGGGCAATTACTTATGTATCAGTGTTTTCTGTGATCAAATTTGTAAGTTTCTACTTTACAAATCTGCCGCGTTTTTACAAACACACACATGACGTCTTCAATAAACCAACCAGAATAGAGTAATCCGGAAATTTTCAGCTTTTTGCATGTTAGACCCAATGATACTGTTCAAACAAAAGCGAGGTTCGAATTCACCAACACACTAGTTGCAATCCAAACTACACTAAGCTACTACATCTGAGAAGTTAGTTTTCACAAGACTAGAATAAAACAGATCAAACTAAAATAAACTAATTACAACTTTGTTGTATTCTGTGTATTTAAAGAAAGACAGGCAGACAGAGGGTCACGTACGAAAATATATTCACTGAAGATATACCAATTTAGTGAAAAATCCAAGACAACCTGTATAGTGTTGTGTCCATTCCAATAATTTGACACGGATTAAATATGGTGGGTGATTATAGATAGTGGTGTATACTCATATTGCTATTACTACTACTATTACTACCACGGATTGTGCAAACAACTTAAGAAATAGAATAACTTCTACAGTTTATCAAGGAGAACCTCAAATGCCTTGGTACGGTTAAGAGTGGGGAGAGTACGTTCTCCCTCTCCAAATGCTATCACATGGCCAAGCGTATATAGCCTCTACCAGGGAAGTCCTACCCACTGCCTTCTCGCGGCATTACGGTTGTTTACGAAATTGAGAGGACGAAAAGCGAATGTCCGGCACTTTGACCGGGTTGGTGGACACGAAAATTCACCAAGGGGAGTTACAAAACCCTCATTCCAAACCGATGGTGCGCATTGGCTCCAGTATCCTGAGGGAACAAATGGCGTATGAATCAATCTTTGGTCACCGACTACCATAGGACTGCATTTCCTGACGATGCTCCACTACTCTGTGAATCAGACCCTTAGGTCAAATGCTGCGGGTGTGGCCCCCTAAGAAAACCACCTGCTTCGGTTTGGGCACCCGAGCAGTGTCACAGCCCTCACACAAATCAAATGAGATTTGTGTGGCGTATATGTATTTGGTGCCCCTTTGTACCAATATCTATGTGTTCAAGTAAAGTTATCAAGGAGAAATTGTATACTTTAGTTCTTTTAAAAGACATAAACTCAACAGAGGGACAAAATAAAGAACTAGTATTAACGCAGACATGTAAAAAGAAAGAGTATAGATATGTATGTCGTGTTATTAATTATATAATAACTAGTAGCAGTATTAACGGAAGGTTAGTGTTTTGAAATAAATCAGATATAAGTTAATGATTTTAGTTAAGCATATCTATATTGTATGGTGTGCATTTGTATGTTAAAAAACATTACTAGTCTTAAACTGGCAATAAGTATGATTTAAAGAACAATCATACCCTGATAAGTTGGTCAAACAATGTACCTGATAATTTATTTGCTAAATACATACAGATTTATATGATCAGGTGTAAGTTACAATTCTTTGTAAGTGGATTAATTATATTACTCAGGACCCCCAAAGCGAGTCAAATATAGAATGATTTGAACCTGAGACTTAGTGATTGCAAGTCGAGACTTGCCAACGACTGATAGAACTAAAATAAAGATTAGGATAGAGGGCATAACAGTCTTCAACGCAAACTGATGGATAAATGTGACCATTGCCTCAGGAACCATATTCAGTAGGTAACATACAACCTCCCAAACGACTAGGACTATCAATCAACAATCTCACAGAATTTTTATTATGATGTAATACATTCATCAATGACAAGTTTTTATCGTCGATGTCATGTCATACTTTTGTACGTGAAGGGGATTCATACTACCAGGGCTGATCAGATAGTATTAGGCGGAGCAAGCTTTGAATTTGCAACTCGACAGTTCAAAGATGAGTGGCTTGCTTATTAGGTTACCACCTTGTAAAACTCAAGAGACCTTAAACTAGATACTATGTCTAGTAATATAAGTTACAATGGAAAGTATCTAACTGATATTCATCACTATAAACAAATTTTTAGACATCGAAGGATACGACTACTGAAACTCTCAGTGGTTGTAAAAAAGCAAGAAGTATACCGTGAAAATTTCATATATAGGTCTTATCAATATGCCATTCAGTTCTTGTTGCCTAAATATTAACCATGATGTCATTTATAGTAAATATTTTTAAAAATTAATCTATTGCCTAACATAGGTGGTGGTTGTTTTCCTTAATTTACTCACCTCTTATGAATTATGTTTGATGACGTTTGGTGATGCAGCTTAGAATCACAGTGCTATGAACTCTGTATTTTACCACCTAAATTCTGAGCTCGAATATTATTTCCAACGTTTTACTCCTCGACCCCATCGTTTCTTTTTAAAAAGCAAAGTGTTGAGTTAAGGTTTCACTAAAAAATGAACACTCAAACATATATGCACCCAACTTCTGAGTAACGAGTATGGTTGGGAACAAATATGGATTTCACTCCTAGAATTTACAAAATGTTTCAAGCATTAATTCCCATTGATACATTCACATCAGAAAAGATAACCCCTTTCGGGGTTAGAACTAACAATGAAAAAGAGTTAATGATGGTGATGCAAAATGTTTGGCTTCCAGAAGAAAGGTAAGAAGTAAAAAAATTATTCTTTGAAGGGAAACTCAACTGACATGAATGAAAATTAGCTGATGAATGTAATTTAACAGCTAGACATAAAATTGTGTATAAGAGTTTAGTTAAAAGTCGAGATGTGACTTAGTGCTCCAGGCATTAGACTCCCGGACACCAGATGGCAGACCGAAGTCAGTTGATCATAATGTAGAACATGTCACATAAGTACAGTGATTTCCACACAACACAGCAAGATAGCATTATTGAGACATTTCCCAGAGTAGCAGAATAGATAAATATTAGTAGTAGTATTAGTATTACCAGAAAAAACCAAGTATAAATGATATGATGGGAGAAGGTACAACAAACTTGAAACATGCAGTGAATCCATCTGTGTAACTATAAAAAATTCTCACTCAGTTAAGGCATACGACTGCACATGATCACTGAAAGCCGAAACTTCTTTAAATAATAATACTGTCTAGTGCAAATAATTACCTCTCAAAATTTTCGACAAAGATACTCCAGTTATAATTTAAAATGCAAGCAAAAATGTAACTCACCATCTTGTGGAGATGTTTTAAGCAATCGACATAATCCTACAACTCCACCGTATTTTTCATTAAGATATTTAACAGCCTCCAATTTACGACAGTCCATTAATTTTTGTAATTCTTTGGGGGAAATTTCGAATGAATCTGAACCACCACTACCAGTGGTGAGTGCAGTTCGTTCGTTTGCATTTGCGTCGCGCATAGTATTTTTTTACTTTGAAATATCTCTGATAATGAATTACTTTAGTTTTTTAGAAATATGACAAAAATGATGTATTCTGAAATCCGAACGTCTGTTATCCTGTTAGATAAAAATAAAACAAAGCAGGTAAAGAAACAACTAGTCTTGAAAATAAAAGGGAAAAAACGTACTATCTAATTGACGTATAATACTTAGTTAACTTGGAATTTGTAATACATGGTTTGTGACCGTCTTAAGATGTACTAAGATGGAGATGATTTTTAAGAAAAATCAACAGCATACTGGTGTCGAAAATACGCATTGTGTAGGAGGATAAGTTCTGCTTGTTTAAGAAATAGTTTAAATGAAATTCCCTAGCAGTTTAAGTTGAGTGTAATAGGTCAAATATGAGTATACTTGATATCGACTGATAACCCTTATTCTGATTTGATAATTAGTAAGGAATGATTTAAAGGATTCTCAGAAATAAACGATATATGTTTGGTGTAAAGAACTTATATCGTCTTGTGGCAAAGGAATATTTAAAATTAAGAAATTAAACACTCATCAGTTGAAGTTAAAAGAGCGATAAGTAAATAAAAATATTATTTGTCACAGTGAAAGTAGTCTTCGATCAAAGGAGTGGTGAGACACAATAAAAAAGATACAGTAAAATAACCAGTCATTTTTGAATGAACGACTCCACTTAGTGTTTCATCTGAGTGTTTCATTTTTATTTAATTTATAATGCAGCATCAAAACAGAAACATAAGACCGACAGCTTATTGCTCACTAATCAACACATACTATTGTATAGTTAAGATCATGAGTCAATTGAGGCTAGACCACCATCGAAAACCTGGAAGCACTGGACGGCCGTTTCGTCCTATTATGGGACTCCTCAGCATTGTGTTAGCCAAAGCAAAAACTACAATATGACATATATTCGATAAATTTTCAACATAGAAACATTTGCACTTGTTCATAAATACAAAGTGCTAGTTTATATATATATATATATATATATATATATATATACCACGTGCCAGAAATACAAACGAATTTTCTCTAAAACAATTGTCAAATTATCGCATAAAATAATCAGGAAGGACCTGTTACATAACTATCAGTTTAGGGTAAAATAACTTGAGTTTGTTTTAAACAGGTTAACATTACGAACACAACACTCTTTTGTCACCAGAGAAAAAAGTTTAAAACTAGAGATCAGGTTATTTTGTCTCGGATCGCAAATAATACTTTAGCACAAATTATTATCACTACCAACCAACCAAAAGTCAATTAACGTCCTAAGTAGTAAAGCTTAGAAAATTCTGATTCTAAATAAAATCGTTGAATGTAACAAAATTATTAAAAACCAATACATCGAACGCAGTTCAATGAGTTAAGGTTCATTAAAAAACAAGGATATTCAAAACACAAATAACTCTCTCGAATATACATAAGTCAATAAGTAAGTAGTAAAAAATCACAATAAAGGGAGTGGTCCTGAGTGGCAACCGAAATATATGGCATAAATTTTAGGATGTGTGACGAATTTTTATCAATCGCACACACAGAAAATAAACATTTGGCCATCACAGTGAGCACTTTTTAAAATAAATCCGGGTGAAAAACTTGAAACACATTTGCCATTTACATAAAATACAAAACAGTCCTTAAAGAATTTGAGAAATGCACAACCACGGAAACGGCATACCACCCACTCACATTGAACGAGAAACAGATTTGTCTTGAGCGCAAAGTCAACAACGAGTATTCTTGAAACATAGAAACAAATGAAAGTGTACAACCTGAAGCAAAATACAAAATAGAATGACGCGATGAGAAAGTTAAGTGATCTGGTTGTAATTTGAGTTTCTTTTTCCTCATATTAATTGCTCTCGTAGCAGAATATAATCAAGCTCCATTAAACAACCAAATTTTTTATTTGATGAGCATTAATTATCAGTAGTAAGGATAAGAAGTCAAACGAAGCATATTAATACTTTGAATTCACAGGACTGTAAATACCTGATCTCTATTTTAATGTGTTAACAGGAGGTTTTAATATTACGTGTCCTAGTAGAGAATCCAAGCTATACACTACTCGGAAATCCAGACGTACGCTATTTGATATCAGTTTTTAAACGTTCTTATAATGTCCTCCTAGATAATCACTCCTGCATAGAATGAATAGGTAAGACAAGTTAATAGCGAAATTGTTGTCCAGCATATGTTAGGCCGGTACTATGTCACCTTGCACCTTGCGGCAAGATAATAAGAATAGGTTGAGGATTCGCAGTTTATCTTCATAAGTTAGACCAAATAGATTTTTTATCATTTTGGTCTGTAGTGACCTATTTTTATTACAAGAACGCGACTGCTGTACTGGAAACAATTATTCCACCTGTAAACGTTGGCACGTCTCTGTATGCTTTCTATACCACGAGATCGTCAACAAATATATCTCATTGCAACCATTTACAGCCTTCTGGTTTTCGCCTATCTAAGAACCCAGGTCGATATCTGGCACGTAATCTTCCTGTAGTGGTGATCATAGTCAATCACGACTCGACGCCGTCTATAGGTCTCTCGCCGTTGAAGCTGTTCTAGCATATCCACTTCCAACCTGAAACAGATAGTAACTGCTTTTATACTATATCCCAAAGAGTAGAACAGGTGACTTCACTACAGTTTTTAAGTCATTTAAAAAAACACTACCGAGGAGAGTAACTTAATGAACTTAACTTTATACAGATTTCCAGGTTGAGAAGGCCCCATTTACCCGCGCTCTTTGTCTTCCATTATTAAAAAGGTAATCATTCAGTATGAGGTTTCATTATGGATCCCAAAAATTTTCCAGTTCTGATTTAAGACTCATTCGATAGATCTTGTCATCCAACGGAATACCCATACCTTTCGACACAGCTTAGTCTTCTAGTGTAATGAGCAGATTTCTGAGACATAGTAAGCTTTTGCTGAAACCATTTTGTACCCTAGACAAAAACTATACCCTTCCACATGGTTTAGGATAGCCGTCAGAATAATATCTTCCATCGGTTAACAACTATAACACAAAGTGTTTCCAATTACGGGAAAGTGCTTCAATTCACAACCAAAATGCACGATCCCAGTCAAATCAAGCAACATAATCAAAGAGGGAATAATCAATACGGCTGCGGCCAAGATTAAATATCAACTAAAACAACAGACACAGTTCAGAAAGAAACATAGAAACTCAGTGAAAGTGAAAATGCTAAAACTGTTATGAAATGAAACATTACAACATTACAACAATGGCATCAAAAAGATTACCAATAATGTACAACTAAGGAAACCATTAAGAACAAATTGCAAATGTATGCATGGAGGGATTTTCACACACTAAAACTTTAAAATGGATCTTACAGTGGGATTCCACCATCTTTCTGATTTAGTCTCTTTATTTATTATGGACTATATTCACAATCCCTTCATATGAAAGTCTAGCCTCTCTCTTCTTTGTTTCCTCATTATCATTTATTTTTCATTACTGGGAACAAGTAAATCGTGACTACTAGAAACGGTGATGGTCTTATCCGGATTTTAAGTTAATCCTTTAGAATCATGACCATCAACGTCAATTGATATTTGACTCTTCGTTTGCTTCGAAAACGTTTTTTGCCATGTTTCGCACTCGCGTGTTTGACTTATCTCGTAACAGTACTGTCCACATGAGCTCATCCTCCATTGTCAGTTCAAAATTTACCAGTGCAGCCACCATGAAATCTCTTGTTGTCCGACACCAAAATTCCAGTCGACTCCTCGATCTGTGATGTCTGACTGGAATAGCAAGTCATACAAAGCCAATGAAAGTTAGGCTTCCATCATCTCTTGCATGCGATAATATTTAAACCAGTATATATCTTATGCAGCTCGTTTTTATACTCACCACATCACATTCCTTCCTCCGTAGGGAAGAAACATTTGGACTGTCCACATTTATAAGTACAGCACATTATTGTAAGGAGATTTAAAATGGAAAAACTTTAGATAAATTAAGGTTTCCTAATCATGATTATACAATATTAGCTCAATTTCTTCAATACAATTGGTCTTGTCCGGTTTTTAGAATTCCTTAAAATCCCGCTGTTATATCAAAATTTCGAGATTTCGGAAGAGTGGGAGACAAATATTCAACACTCTCAAGATTCACAGTGTAAGATTCATTTTTGTATGCTCATGTGCAAATATGGATAAAACCTTTCTATGCCTGTCATTTCTTATTACTAGCCCTTTCGGTTTCTGTAGTATGTACTGTATCTTTTATTGTTGTTTTTATTTTGTATGTTGATTTTTATTCATGAGCACACTATCTCTTTAGTGTTTCTTAATCTTTTCATAACCGTCTTGTCTTAGTATTGCTTAACATTAACATTAACACCCGCTATGTTGGACTGCCATACTTTAGTTGATAGTTTGTGAACTAGTTTTCTATGCTTCGCAAGGTTGATTTCAAATCACGTTTTCTGCTTAATCTAGGGAACCTTTTCTAATATTCACTGGCAAGTAATTATTTTTCTATATAATCGTCGTTTTACAATTGATTATTAGTATTAGTAGCGAACTGAATCAATTTACCATTCTTTATGGGATAGAATATTGCTGCTTGACTGATAAGAGTATTTTTATCATTGTAATATTTGAGCTTTATACAGTGTTTGTACCAAATAGAAAAATAGACAATTCAGATTGCACTGTTTTCATTTCTAATTCCATCCTTACAAACAGTATCACTCCTGGGTACCTTCTACTCCGACTTGAGCGTCATTTACGTTCTTGTGCATAATTTATTGTTTAAAACAGCCTTGTGAATTATAGAACACTAAAAAGCTGGACTGAAGTTCTAACATTCGGATAGATATTGAAGCCGTTCTTTATCTGGGTCTGACACTTGACAAAGAAATTATAGAATGAAGTATGAATTGTTTGTGCGTTATGGCTAACCTGTAAAGATATCTTTTTTTCCACAAATTATATAAACAAAATTCATTAAGAACCTCTCGGCTTAAAGTTAACTAGAGTTCATAAGCAAAGTTATGAAACGGGGAAATAGAGCCAAAATCAACACTTATAAAATAAGCAAACTAAATATAAATGCTGTTCACTACAAATATGTATAAAGCTGATTAGAAGGGAGTAGCACTTTTTTAAATTATGGTTCAAACATCAAGCTCCTTTCGTAACGCGTCATCAGATCTAAGTAGCTCGTAATAAATAGAGTTTTGGTGATTGATTATCTTCTTTTATCTCAACCCCCATCTTGATTCTGTCTGGAAATGGGTGTGAATATCACGTTAAATGTACAAATAGTCTCATATAATCGCTACGATTACTTATCAATCTACAAAATGGTGAACATAATGACTGCATTCCTCCCCGATGAACAGATTTTTTCTTCACTTATTAATAAACAACAGAACTGTGAGCTGGTACTAACTTGAATAATAAATTCACTGGATTTTCAAGTAGTTCGAAAATAATAATATCTCGAGGATATTCAACAAAGGAGGGGTAAATCTTCTGCGACAAGTGATATATAATGACACTGTAACAAAGAAATACGCCAGATAATCATCATGAGGACCAATTCCCATGCTCGTAAACGAAAATTACCAGCATCTTCGTTTGTTAACGACGGATAATAAAAGACTATGCAGATAGGATTATTAGACCTGTTTTGTATACAATTTTGATAATTTTTCATCTATTTTGTTTATTTTCACATTCTGTACATTCATCACTAAACAATTGTACTTGTTGTTTAAGTGTATGGCCTTGAACACTTACTAACTGACTTCCTGTCGCTTTCAAATTCAACATAGCATGACATTGTAACTGCTCATAAATAAATACACTCACATACACACATACCTCGTTCTGTTGTGCCTGTGGATATGTTAACCGAACTATTAATTGATTATCATCTGTATTTGCAAACTATTGTGACATTCCCATTATATTCTACTTTTGGCTAACTTACTGAAGCCATATCTATCTCATTGGAATTATTAATTGTTTATAATTGTAGATTTTTGGGACCAAGCGCAACGGAACACGCAATAGCCAGCCAATTTAAATAACGTCCCTAAACTTTTATTTGTGTTGTTTACTGTTACATAAACTTTTGGACGTAATAACTTTGTCGCTATTTTCGGTTAATATATTTTTTGGTCCACCACAAGATAATACGTTCAGTGAGGAGACTATAATTTATGGACGAATCAATCAGATTTACGATAACAAGTCTTGAATTCTGGCCCAGAATTCATTCATCCACTCGACTAAATAGTGTTTCGGCGTCATAGCTGATGTATTTTTGTGATAAAAACTCAAAATCCAATTCCTCGCACTAGCCATCAACTGTAAATCGTAATCTTAACTTCTCCTACTGGTTTAAAACCCCCATTTAGGCCTTGCAAATAGATGGACATTAAGGCCACTCAAGTGTCACTCAAAGGTCGTTCCTAAATCAAAGTCTCACCAGTTCCTTTAGTAGTAATTGTGTTACTGAACAGTAATCACCTTGATTTGTACACTTCGACAAGTTGATTAAAATAACGTTTTACAATCAGTGACAAGGACTATACAAACTGGATATTATCATTAAGACCATGAATAATGACAAAAGTATTTACAAGTGTGGTTTCATTTGACCACTTTTACAATGGTATATCACTGATGCTGGCCTGTAGCGAAAGGCTTTGAAATTTCTTTCACATTCCAAACATCAGATTTGTAAAGTCACACCACAGATATAGAGCACGTTTTAACGTGACCACAATGTGTTGTAAAGAGAATTTAGTTCGTTCAATCGACACGAAAGGGATGTTGAAGAGCTATGCCAAGCA